TGCGGAGCAGTCTCTGTTCACGGGGAGCTCAGGCCCCTTGTGGACAGGGCCTGCTGCTGCCCCATGCTGCTGCCTCTATATCAGAGGCAGCCGTGCAGGGTGACCAGGGCTCCCCTGTCCGCCCCCAAAGACTACTGAATAGTTGTGTAACCGCAAAAATTTGATGCTGTTACACGATTATTCAATTACATGCTATCCAACATCCCTGTCTAACACATTGCAGTTTTAGAGCCTTATTGCCAAAGCCCTGTAAGTCTGAGTCAGCTGACTTGGGCCACCCTCAGGTATTTAATTACTGTGTAGATATACCCTCTCCTTCCTATTTTTATGAAGTCTGAGTTTTACTGCACTGGATGTTCTGGAAGGTCATCAGTGATCTATCACTGGGAAATCTTAGATCTACATTAACAAAGTGTTTTGTCATTTAACTGCACTCACTCTTAGGGTGCATCTACACAGCACAGTTATTTTGAAATAACTGACATTATTTCGAAATAACAATCTGAGCGTCTACACAGCAATTCTGTTATTTTGAAATAATTTTGAAATAATGGATGGATTGTTTCAAAATCTGTAAACTTCATTACATGAGGAATAACACTTATTCTGAAATAACTATTTACTGCTTATTTGGAAGAGCAGTAGTGTGGATGCTCCAGTGCTGCTATTTCAAAATAGCTCCTCTCCCGGGCCATTCAAAATAATTCCTCCCCAGGGCCTCCTGGGACTCTAAATCGAGGTAGCATGTCCACATTAGGGAAGCCTGCCTCGGACTAATTTTGAGGCTTCCCTGTAGTATAGACGTGCTATTTTGAAATAAGCTATTTCAGGAAAAAATTCCAAAATAGCTTATTTTGGAATAAGCGTGTTGTATAGAAGTACCCTTATATACTATTGTTTATCAGAACATGAATATTTTCCAATTATTTATTAAAATATTTATTAAATTAATTAATACCTCTAGTGAGCCCCTAAATTGGTTTTGCTGGACTGTGCATAAATAGTCTCTCTCTTAAATGCTTTCACTTTATCTAGTTTCTCAAGGAGGTTAGGAAACATAAGATCAGGAATATAAAGAACAGTATATATGTGTTTCACTCAAGTGCTTTCTCTAGAACAGCCAGGAGTTAGTACTACGCAGACAGAACTGTCAGTTAAAAACTGACATGAAATGACAATGAAGCAAGTGTATTGCTGGTGTAGGAGATAGTGTAATCCACAAACCTCGTGTGGTTACTGAGCAATGCAAGTGGGAACCACACTAGGTGTGTGAGTTACAATAGCTTGAAATCAAAGCTCTGCATGTTTTTTCATTAAAGGAATACTGTCAACTTCATTGCTTTAAGCAACTGCTTTAAAAAAAGTTTCAGCAAAGCTCCCTTTAAATAGGATATCCAGAATTTAAAAACAAAACAAAAAAATCTTTACAGTGTTATAAGGGTTTTTCTGCTCCCTAATCCCTGATTTAAGAGAGTTTCCCTGTTCAGGCCAAGCCTGTAACCACATGCTTACGTCCCACGGAAGTCAACAAAACTTAAGCAAATGTTTAAAACAAAGCATGTTCTTATGTGTGGTTCTGACCAGGCATGGTCTGCAAGGCAAGATTAAATGTTTTCCTGAATTGGGGCCCTAGTGATGTTAATAGGAGTCTTTTGGGCAGGCAGAACAAGAGCACCAAAGTAAAAAATGCTGAGGTCCACTTTTTCTCCTCCATCAGTATTCTCCCTCTGCAAACTCCAAACTGCTACTTCATCAGTTTAAGCTATCTTGCTGCACTTACTGGTAAAATCCCCATCTTGCAAAGCCCTTGGAAGGGTGTGCACATTCAACAAAACAGCTATGCTGACTCTGCAAAGTGCTGTTAAATACACAAATTAGGGATGTTAAATATCGGTTATTTGAATAGTTGTTTAACTTCATGAATTCTTATTGGTTACTCATTTTTATAGTCCCATATTTTATATTTTTATAGTCCCATACCCATATTTTATAGTCCCCAGCGGTGGAGCTGACAGCCAGTCCTCTCCAGCTTCACTCCCAAAGAGCCCCTGCTACTCTGTGCTGCTGCCTCTGTATCAGAGACAGAAGCACAGGGTGCCAGGCAGGAGCTGGTCCACCAGGGGAGCCAGTTCAAAAACCAGCTCCCCTTGTGGACCAGCTGCCTGTCACCCTGTGCTTTTGCCTCTGGTACAGAGAGGCAGCAGTTCAGGGTGTCAGCAGCCCCTGTACAGAAGGGTGTGTTTGGGAGGGGCAACGAAGTGAGCTCCCAGACCTGGTGTGAGGCAAAACTGAGCCAGGCTGCCTGCCCATTTGGCTCCTACACACTTTAAATGCAGAGCCACAGTGAGGGTCTGAGCCAGGCTGCTAGCCAGCCTGCTAAAAAATGTACTGGCAAGGGGAAGGGTGAATGTGTGTAGTCTATAATATTAACCTATAAGCAAAAGTTTATTGGTTAATCAGTTAATCGACTATACTAATACATTCCTAGCATGAATCAAACAAATTACAAAATAAAGGAAAATGCTTTTTTTTTTTTTTTTGAAATTGCATGTAAGTTATAGAGCTCTGTGGCTTTCCAGGGAAGAATACTAGGTACAATGGTTGTGCTGAGACCCCTAAATATTATGCCGATTAATACTGTCTTTTTGTTTTCTTGTAGTCCCCCTCTATCCATCTGCTGTCTTTTCTTACACTTACATGGTAAGCAGTTTAGAGCAAGGACTGACTGGGGGATAGACTACTGAATCCACATGCTGGGTCTGGAGGCCTTGTATTTAGATTTTAAACTCTTTTGAGACAAGGAACATCTCACACTGCATATATGCATAACACCGAGCACAGAAGCATCCCAATCTTAGTTATTCCCTCTAGGCAGTACTGCAGTAGGCTGAACAGATAAGAGGATGGATAAAGAAACTCATTCTTCCTTTTGGAAGGACTCTTTCTTCTCCTATAACTGTACTTTGTTTCAGCAACAGAGACATTATCTGTGAGACATGCTATCCCTGTAAGTTTTCTTCCTTGATGAATACCTTAGGGTAAAGGTTGGCTGTTGGGATTCTCAAGTCTAGACATTCAGGAATGCACTAAGCATCATCAGTGCTTCACAAGCCTAAACACCATGGCTATCATGCTTTGCAAAGCTATGGAAAGTATGGAGATTTAGTTGCCAGTGAAATTCACATCATGCAGCAGCTTATGAGGGGAAAATACCCCCTGGAATACAGCACAGCCTTTACAGTGGCAAAGTCATGAGCATCGTGAAACTTCTTCAGGCCATAAGCTGTAGAGTTGAACTGGGAATGAACAGATGAAGGAACTGGTGTGAATGAGTGCAGCTCTGGAGTACTGCCTAGAATCTGTACAATTACTTAAAAAACAACCCCAAAGAACTATTCTGCAGACTATTAGAAATTAAGGCATTTGGAAGCATCCAGAACTTTGTTAATTAAGTGAAACTGTAACTAATCAACTTATATAACAACTTAACGTTCGCTTTTCAACTGAAATTGCACAAAATAAATCTTCAGGTATACAGTACTGAAGATATCCACATAACAAAGCAATCTGCATGCAGCAATCATTTTTGCATGCTCTTATTTCAATTGAGCATTACATCTCTTCACCTGTCTTCACTATGGCCTCTCTTTTTAGTCTAATCACAATATTTTCAATATAACCTGAACATTCCTTTACAAGCTCTCCCCCACTCAGTATGCAAGGATTTTAAAAAGGAGAGATCAAGTGAGCAAAGTATACATCTACATATACAGATCAGGTTATCTAATCAAAGTACTAGACTGCCTGTACAAACCAAACTTCCACCGAAGGGCTTCCTGTCACATAGGAATGAGTACTGAAAATACAATATTCAGAAAAATGCACAAAAAAGAAGGTGGAGGTAAGTGGGGAAGGGTGAAGTAACAAAGTAAAGTAATTACCTATCTCCCTTTGGTTTTCTTTTCTGTACTGTCTTCCCTTTGGGTCGTCTCTCACTTCCTAAACAGGGGCTCCCACCAGGGCCTGTTACCCGTATTGATTCAAGGCCTTTGGAAGATTTCTTAAAAGTAAATTCCACTGGTTCTCCTTCTTTTAGGCTTCTAAATCCTTCCATGTAAAGCTTGCTCTGTAAATAGGAAAAATATTCTTGGTTACTATTGCCTTAAAAACAAAGCTGATAATAATAATAACAGGACAATATTAACTTTCCTGTTATGCTTATCCTACAAGACACAGGTTAAATTTGGGTTTCCTAAATAAGATCCACTAAAGATGGACCACTTATGGTCATGGGGAAAACGTTCTTCAAGCTTAAGAAATAATGAGGTTCTCTTTTCTTTGGATAGGAAGAAAACTGAAATAGTAATTTCCTTAATTCTTCGCTGAATTTTGTGGGGTTTTGGCTGCACAAATCTAAAAATGCTGTATGCTCATACAGACCTTGGTAGAAACTTTCTGCAGTTTAAGGCACATTAATAGAATCAAAGAAGCTCATGCTAATATCCCCCCCTTTTTTTTACAAAAGTAAGAAAAAAAGAGGAAATGCTCCTTCTCTGAGTGAACCTAGATATTGAGTTCTAGATGCTGATCAAAATGCAACCTATAAAAGAAAAAGGGGAAGGGGAGAAAGGACATATCAATTCTGAAAGCATCAGAAGTAAAAAATTATGAGCAAAAAGGAGCTACCAACAAAATGAATTGCAAAAGGTAATTCATTTATTCCAAGTGAACTGCTAAGTTAGCATTCATTGCTGGTAAAACCTATCTTATTAGTATGATCTGCGTATGGATTTATTCTTTGATCCAAGAAAAGCAAATCATTATCAGCAGGGTCAGAGAAACAAAACAGTAACACTGGTAATCTTTTGGTGTATACTTCTAGCATGAAATCCTGGCCCCAATAAAGTCAATGGGAGTTTTGCAAATTGACTTGAATGGGGCCAGGATTTCAATCCTCCTCTCAAATTCTCTGAATGTTATATAATATTAAATCTAGATCCAAGGATAAATCTGTTGAATAAAAAAACCTGGATGAAATAGGTAACAAGAAAAGTGAAACAGAATGGAATGTAAAAAAGGAGACAAAAATAGACTCTGGTTTTATTAAATGTTTATTCAAAATGTTATATTTAACACAGACAAGATTAGTGAGTATTACAGAATCAAATATCCAGTACTTAAAAAGGACTTTCATTTTTGTTATAAAATGAAAGAGAAAGGGAATAAAGAGAAGATCACTTTTTTGTTTTTGCTGTTGGTTTATTAATACTTCAGAATAGACAGCACATCTGGACTGATTCGTATAAGCTACTCAGCTAGTATTCTCTTGCCTAAACCATAGAGGCAACAAAGGGAGTAGTCTCAGCTAGAGATGTAAGCGAGTAGTTGAGTAGTTGATTGCCTGATAAGTCTAGACTTTAGAATTATCAGGTAGCCTAGTTGACTACTCAACTACTTGCATTCTCTCCCCCCCTTCCAGGGGGAGGGGAAGCAGGAGCCAGTGCTGGGGGGAACCAGCTGAAAAGCCGGTTTCCCTCAGCAGGGTCTCAGTGGTGCTGCCTGCACCCACTCCCCACGCTGCTGCCTCTACTCGACTACTCTATCAGAAGCAGCAGCGTCGGTGGGGGAGGCTGCCACGAAGAAGCCTCTGCCTATGGCAGGCCAGCGATGGCTGCGAGCAGAGGCTGCTTCGCATCCCACAGAGAAGACCCTGGTCCTAGTGGAGAGGCGGGACCCCCAGCAGACAGGGGCTGCTGCTAGAGCAGCCTGTGTTCATGGCCAGCTTGGGCCCTCCAGCGAACATAGGCTGGCCATGAACAAAGTCTGCTCCTGCAGCAGCCTCTGCCCACCAGGGTTCCAGGTCCCCGCTGGGACCCCCACGAACAGGAGCTTCTGAACCCCTTGTGAGCTGGGTCTGGGAGCTATCCTGTTGTGGCTCTGTATTTTTAATGTAGGAAGAGTTAGGCTGGCATTTAAAATGCAGAGCTGCAGCAGGGGTAGGTTCCGGACCCAGACTGAGCTCGGACTGAGCACTGATTAAACAATTGGCCAATTACTTGCCTCTTAACAGCCTTAGTCTTAACTGTGGTGGAACAAAAACCAGTTATGTAGCACTTTAAAGACTAACAAGATGGTTTATTAGGTAATGAGCTTTCATGGGGCAGACCCACTTCTTCAGATCATATTCTGAAAGTGAATTGGCATGACCATTATATAGCAGAGGGACACAATGAAGAAGTAAGCAAATTATACAGTAATGAATCAGCTACATAGAATAGAAGGTGGGAGCAAGGGGACAAGGAAGAGACAAGGAAGTAGGAAATTGCTTATTGTGGAGGTAGGATGAGCTATAGCGATGTAGAAGGCAGCAGGACACTACAGCCCTCAATAGTCAACATTTCTCCATTCAACCACATAGTATACAGATTGAGAGCACCAAGGGATGCTCATGACTACATATGGAGAGCAAGTAGTTCCAACATCGCAAAGGCAATTGTAATACAGTGAGTCTATATTAGTCTGCTGGAATAGCCCCCATATGCATCAATTGAGCTTGGCATCGCCACTGTAATAGCTTCTGTGGGAAGTTCTGGGAGGACGCCATGTCCTTGTGCTTAAGGCATGGAAGCTATACTGAAACTGGAAGATTTGGCTCCTGTTCCTATCTCTGCAGACTTCCTCTGTGGGCTTGGGCAAATTAAGTAACTTAATTTGTCCATGCCTTGGTTTCTCTTATTCCTACTTTGAAGATCCTCCGGAAAAGGGCTTTATTCCGGAGGATCGCGCCAGTCTAGACGCTTTTTTCCGGCTTTTCCCCAAGCTGGAAAAAAAGCGGCAGCCATGTTTATTTAAATCCCGCGGGGGATATTTAAATCCCCCACGGATTTCCCTATTCCCAAGTTCAAAATTAGCATGCCCCTTCCGAAGAAGGGGCCAGTGTAGACGTAGCCTGTATGTAAAGCAGACATTATCAAATACTTACCTATCTCACAGGGTACTGAGAGATTACACTAATGACTCTGAAATCCTCATTTGGAAGAAACTATGTTAGTACACACACATGCACACACAGAGGAAACATGGGTGGTCAGTAATGTAGGAAAGGGAAGGCAGAGCCTTCGCAAAATTGCCTACATGACCGACTGCCTAGGGCTGGGACTGCTGCCGGGGAAGGCTGGCACTGCAACGCAGCAGCATGGCTCTGACCACCTGGGAAGGCAGTCTGGCTTGCCCTGCCCATCGCTGTATGGCAGCCCAGTTTTCCCCGCCCTCCTGCTGTGTGTGGCAGCCCACCTTTCCCTGTCCACTGGGGAGGGATGGAGCTACAGCTTGACAGCTCGGCTTCCCCCGGATACCAGGGAGAGCCAGGCCAGGGTTGCAGCACAGCAGTGGAAGGATCGGGCTGGGAGTGGGTGTGGCCTCATATGGCAGGGGGTGGAGACTTGCCTTCCCCAGCTAGTCTTTCACCTGATGCCTATGAATGAAAAGAATGAGCAGTAGTCATTCACATTAATACAGGAAATGTATTAGTGGATTCCAATGCACTGGGAGGCAGAATATCAGTACAGGACAACAAAGAGATCTGGATGCCTTTAGGGAAA